CTCTGGGCTTTGTAGAGTGTCAGCAATTGGCTTGGTGTGTACAGATGTCTTGTACGAAATAGCACCCCCAGCTTTTGGGAGGCCCTTTTAGCAATATCTGCCACGTGACTGTGCCAAGACATGTTGGTCTCTGCAGTAACCCCCAAGATGTTCAACTGACTCTGTAATGTGACAGCACTTCCAGATAGCATGATGTTTGACTCACCGGTGCTGGTCTTTTTTGAAAACAGAACTGCTTGGGTTTTCTGCGCGTTGAACTGTACAAGGTTTTTGTTACCCCAGTCCTCTATTATCTCCAGGTCGTTATTTATCTGCGATATTTGAGTTAGTCTAAGATGATGGAATTCACGTGCGGAAAGACCTGTGGGTGGTATGAGTGAGGAGACTACATTGCCATCGTTTGCAAAGCAATAAAGTGGATTTACTGTTTTATCTATGAGGTCATTTATGTAAATCAGGAAAAGAGTTGGCGTCCTTAAGATATCTTGGACGGCTAGACTAACAAACGGAGTAGTCTTAAGACGTGTCAACAAACAACGTGAACTGTTTGTATTGATTAAAAAGAGAAAAATGGCATATCTGGGACATATACGAAATACCAATTCTTGCACCTGTTGATTGAAGGCGAGATCGAAGGCCGAAGAGGGATTGGAAGAAAGAAAATGTCTAGGCTGCGAAATATCAGATACTAGACAGGGCTACATGATGTGCAGTCGTTAATACACACCGCAAGGAATAGAGAAGCAATGGAAAATGTTATCGCAAACATCCATTATTGGATAAGCATTGGAAGAAGAAGAAGACTGCATAAAATTGTGCTAGATTTTTTTAGTTCCCAGGTATCTACGTATGTGAAAAAAGATTCTTGTTGAAATACCGACAAGGTAAATGCATCAAAGCAAGTAGGTAGATATATGAATCAATAAAATTCGCAGTACATAATGCCAAAAACCTATCGAATTCTGGCAAATATCAGGACACCGTTCTCGTCATTCGGTTGCCTACAAATGAACTCGGGTGTAGATTTGTTGTCAAAAAAGGCAGACTTTGAGGCCGTGTCAATTACAGAATCAAAAACTTGGAGATGATCAAAAACCGCTATCCTATATAACAGAACTAACCTAACGCGTATTATGAGTTTGGTCAGCACACTTCAGAAACCCCTTGAGCCAAAAACTGACAAGACTCAATTCAACTTTGGAATGAGTAGCGAAAATAATTTATTTGAAAATTAAAGATAAATACCTACTGTCTTAATTTGATTGTACTTGTCAGGCATTTTGTGAGACAAGAATCTGATGAAAGAAACTTTACTGAAGTATATAAATGACTAAGTGAACCACTGACCTTTTAGCATTTCCTGATACTTTAAATTGTGTAATGCTCGATTTATTACAATCAGTTATAGATAAAAGATAAGTTTTTTAATTTTCATTGGCACAATTGAAATTAGAAAGCTATTATTTATGTCTGCAAATATATGGCTCTCTTCGAAAGAATTCAGAACACAATAAGCAGAATTAAGTGGTGTTAGTTTAAATTATCTAAACATCAACATTAATTAAGAGCTAAAAAGCTCGTTTGCAAAAAAAAAACTACTAAATAAAATCGCAGCAATTAAACACTTTAATGCACTAATTGGGTGCATTACGCTCTTGTAGTCAGCTGCAAATATTTTTAAATATCATAATGATTGTACTTTTCTATTTCCAGATTTGTTATTAAACTCAAAGCCTGTGTTGGTACATACCTACTTTTGAAAAAGACAAACTATATGTTTTGTAATTGATCGAAGAGGGAAAATGGGCAAAATGAAACAGTAGCAAATCAGTTTTTTTCTTAGCTCAGTAGGTATAGGAAATGATATCAAAAGCGTTTCTGGTGTTAACTCATTACAATTTACAAGACTATATTGTTACTGGTATCATGACTTCTCTCTACCACATATTTTTACGGTCCATTTCGGTTTTCCTTGTCAGGCCTTGGCGAAAATAATTAAAACTAACGATTATCGCATATTAATTCTTGCATATTAAAATGTAGGTAACACTTATTGACTTAGTTGTTAATAAGTATGGGACGATAATCAATTAACATTCGTGTATTAATAAGCCTGGTTTCAGAGCGTAACTTTTTTTCTTCAAATAAGTGCAACTCTGCTGCGCAAATTGAAGATATTTCATGTAAGGTGCGATTATTAATGCATTTCAATAATGAGCCACTGGATCCGCGTTCGCGTATATTAAATCAAATGGTAATTTACATTTTAATGTAATGGGGCAAGAAGATATAGTGTGTGGAAAAAGATAAACGCTGCCAGGCTTGCTAATTACTTATTATTAATTCATTAATTTCAATTATTCATGTCTAGTTATTGCGTTCGATGTGCGATGGTCATGTGCTCAGTTGTATCCCATTGAGTTTTCAATTTATATTTCGAATAATTTAATTTAATCGTACCTACTCGACAATGCACATATTCCTGGAATATGATCCTGAAAGCCGTTGACCATCGGTACCGAAAGTGCACCCCCAGGTCTTATTTACGAGGAATTCGACCTTCCGTAACGAAAACCAAATCGGGGGCCACGAACCGAGAGCTGTTCCCCATAAATCGCAACCGCCACGCCATCCAACCTGGTTTGCTGCTGCTTCATTAAAACTTGGAGTAGATTTTCGTATAGATATTATTATTCGAAACAGAGTGGAACTTGGGCACTTGAAATAAGCATTTTTGATTTTTCAATTTTAGTACTATGACAATACATAAGAGTGCAGGCAGATTTCTAGAGAAACATTAGAACACTGATAAGAGAATGCTGGGAAGATCAAGTAGAGAAACTTATGGCCGGACATGAAGTCCTAAAATGCTGAGAAAGAAGGAGAATTCGGACAGAATGAAAATATTATATTCCAATCAAATCAAATCAAATCAAAATTTATTTATGTTGATTAGACAACATAGTGTTTACACACGTCAGACAAAAAATAGTATAAAATACTTAGTGACAACATCAATAGACTAACAGTTGAGATTTGTCAGAATAGTAACATTCGCCAATAGGGCTTGCTAAAAGGATTAAAAACTGCTAAACTAATTGTACATGACATAACTATTACAAATGAACATAACACAACTCTACCTACAATACTATCTATTCCTTTGTACTCTAGAAGAATTGGTCGATCAGACCTATTATTGTACGTTTTTAATGGGAAGGATTGCAAGTATGCTCCCTACAGCGAGCTCATGAGAACTTGGTATTTCTCTTCAATAGCAATGTGTGCATTGTCCACAAACTCCCACGATATTCTCTCTACAAAATCATAAAATCTTGAAAGACCACACTCTGTCATTGGTCTAAATACAGACCAAACCTTATCAGCCCTTGAATTAAAGCGCAGCAGAGATTATAGGTAACAACTTCAGCCTTATATGAGTTGTGGCCAAAGTTTGCAAAGACATTGTTCAGGCAGGATTGCTGTCGTGTTGCCTCAAATATGGTTTGTTGAAATCCATAGCTGCCAAGCAGGTCAAGTAGAGCCATGGACCTGTCGCCTGCCTGGAGCCAAATATAACGTTGGGCCGTTGGGCGCCAAAAAGTATAACATACTTATTTGGCAATAATTGCCTAATTGTACTGCGTACGGCTAGTCAGCATCAATTCGGAGACCATGGGCTTATGGATTCCCTGTATACATCTTATCTTTGGGCGCCACCAAGCAGTTAGCAGTTCTAAGTTTGTTCCAGACTAAGCTATGGTGAGTGAGTCCTATGGAAGTCCTACCCACGTTTTATCTGTTTAACGTCGAACTCTACGTGGTTCTATCAGAGTGGTACCAAAGGTTGTTGAAGAGAAGCTACTAAAGCCCCAACTAAGATCAATCTAAATCCAGCCTAGAATCTCTCTAGATACAGCCTAGAATCTTCTAAATACAGCCTAGGTCCCTATAACGATGTTGTTATAAAAAAAACAGATCGAGCCCCAAACATTAGAAATAATCTTACCTCTAACTGAGGAACGCTCTAGGCCAAAAGTGAAGTCTTAAACTTCCATAAGCTACTCGGAACGATCCTATTGAAGCAATGAAACGCGTGTTGTAGGTTAATAATTCCTGAAGAAGATCTCAAAACTCACCGAAACAAAATCCAAAATGACCAAGGGACAACTCTAAACAATGATCAACAAGAAATTAGTCTAATTTGAGTTTTCCTGGCACAAAATTCCAAAAAGTCTTGCCTAAAAATAATTAGGGCCAAGACCGACCTCACAGTATCAGGTCTCAAAATCAAAAGGGGATCAGATTTGGAAAAAGGGCTTCCATTTGTCCAACTTCTAATTTTGACATTGATGAAAATTATAGAAAAGGGCGTGTTGAGTTTCATCCCAAAAATACGAACTGGAAAGTGGGTTGTGTATAAATGACTCCAGATAACCGGTGAATGTTGAAAATTGCCTATAGAACCTATCTCAGAAAGTAGAACAGGTCTTAAAGAAAACGTCTAGACAGCGACAGCTGTTCAATGATATGATGGAACTGAAAAATCGAATAAAGTAAACAACAATTATCATAACCTCAGATTATTTATTGATTGAATTTGCCAACTAGTCGATGGTACTTTCTCCTTTTATAAGATTCTAATCAATAACAGCGGGCCCTGCCGTACTAAATCAAACCTTCCTAGATCAATTAACTACAATTGCAAACCTGAACCAAAAAACTTTTAGTAGAAGGCAGTACTCAAGGTAATAAAATTTGGGCACAGAAAAGATAGTCGTTTATTCATTTATTTCTTTATAGTTCTATATGGAATCATATCCACTAGAGCAAAACAAAGAAGCATATTAGCCAAGAAATTGAAAATGTTACATCCTGCCAGTACAATATCCTTACCCTGGCCTATGCCATTTATTATACCCTCAAGCTTCCATCAGGTACTCTGTAGATACATACTATGTAAATATGATATTTTAAAACATTAAAAACTGCTAAAATTATCAATTTTCCCAAAGCAAAATAATTTTTTCAGGAATATCACAGTATCCCCACCACGGGTAGAAAAGGTAGGTAGCCACCTTGTATCCATCCAGGCTAAGGACTGCCAATTCTTCTTCTATCAACCAGTGCTCAGTTAGACAAACTATGTCAATATTTGCATCACCCAGAGCAGCTTCTAGATTGTCCACTTTATTTCTCAGTGAACGTACATTATAGTGTAGAAGACTCAAGGTAGTTTCTATATCTCCTTGGGTATTTTTGATTCCTGTCCCTTTTGAGACACTAGCTTCTTCAAGTTTAAAAACTTGACTACTTTGACCCCCTTCGGCCGTGAGTTGGGGTCCATTATAGTATCTTTCTTGTCCGTTGGGACTGCTATTTTGAAGCAGGCTTATTTGTTTTGACGTTTGGTAATTAGCTTCTCACAAACACAATCCGAAACGAAGGTATGCTTCCATTTTTTCGATGGTAGTGTTGACAGCCAATCCAGAAGTAAACACCCATGAGTATTCGGGGATGTTTGCTGCTTGTATATCAGTTTTCCCTTCGCTATTTCCCCTTAAAGGAGCATCTTAAGTTTATAATTAATTTCTGTTTGGGTTCATTCAAAGAACAAAACAAACAAGAAGCAAGATACGCAGAAAAAATAATAATTATGCGAACTATCTAATGCATGTGGGAGAAATAGCGAACTACCGGACATATTATGAAACAATGCTATATTATTCCTTATATGTATTTAGAAAAGGAGCCAGACTGAAAAAATAAAATGCATAAATACTAGCCAGTAGCCAGCATTCAGAATATACGTAACTAACGACCACCTCCACACGGCGAGATTACTCATAGAAAAGGTCACAGAGTAAAAACATTATTGTGGATTCTTGTAAAGTATTTGATCCTATAAGTATTTATGCATTATGGTTAGTAATTCATCCAACTAATAAATGAAAAGTCATGAGCACTGAAAAGATCGTTAATAAAGGGATTAGACGACCTAGAGACACTATATCACCACAATTTAATGCTCTTGGCGATGGACTCAATATTCGCCTGACCTACAGAAAATGCTATAGGAAGTAGATATAGAAATAATTGGAAAAGGAATAGAAATTGATTCAAGCAAGACCAAAATCATGGGTATCATTGAAGAAAAGTCCTTTGGAAAGGTATAAAACTACATAAATGTATCATCCTCGGACACCAACTGAAATCAGGAAAAAAGAATCAGTCTTTTGAGAGATCGCAGAAGAACTTTGGAGTAGGCAGCATTCTGCAAACTTAAACATATCCTCTAAAATGTAAAATATTCCTTAAAGATTGCCCCAAGAAACCCAGTGCCTATAGGGTAGTGCAGGTATTCGATTGACTAATACCAGAAACCTCTATTATCATTGTCATCCTTATCAAAGTTTCGGCTAAGCGATTCAGATCATTTCGTTGTGTTACTCTAATTGTTGATGTATTTTTTGTCAATGTTACTGTTCCACGCCAATATGTCATTGCAGGCAGTAGGTATACGTTCAAAAAATACTCTTCATTTTAGGCTGAATAAAATATCCTATCCAAATTAACCCTAATACTGCTCATGAGAGCCTCAATCTTCGACTTTACTCCAAAAGTCTGGATCTGGATTTATCCAGTATTATTACAAAAAGGCAATAGCACGTTATACTCCAGGCTCCACCAACAGAATGGAGCGACGCACCGAACTTAGAAAAGAGCCGTATAAGAAAGACGATATTAAGAATGTGCAGTGCTTTAAAAACCGCTCAGAACAACCATCAAGTATAAGTATTTAATTATTATTGTACAAATACCTGAAACCTCAAATTTGAATGAATCAAACACTTTTTATTTTATTGATTGCATGATTAATGGCCATCCTATTGGAGGTTATGTTGATTCTGGCTGTGGAGCAGTATCTATTAAACACTTGGATGTAAAGAAGGTGGGTTTACTTTGTGAACCAGCTTCAGCCTGGTTACGTGGTTTTGGTGGTGGTACTGTGCACGGAAGCAATGAAGTGACGGCACAGTTAACGGTGGACCTAGCTTCCGTTAAGGTAGAAGCGTTAGTAGTCCCTGATAATGTACAAAAAGTCTCTATAATCGTAGGACAACCATTTCTTAACAACAAAAATGTTACGGTTCATTCATGATAATCAGGTTCAGTTGTTACACTATCTTCCCAAACTTTTTACCGCCATATACCTAATTCTGCACTGTGTGACAAATTTAAATCAAAATTGACATATTCCAATATTCAATTTTTCAGATTACGACTTATGTTACGAAAAGGGTAGGGTAGTAGTTAGGGGATACACTTGTTACGGAGAAATTTATACCTTTGTTCCTATATTAACAAGTGAAGTTACGAAATTCAGACTCAAAATATTCAAAACCAAACCAATCCAAAGCTCAATAGTACGAATTTCAAACAGTTATTAGACATTCTTAATGAATACCGTGATTGTTTTGCCAAAAATGTAGACGAGATTGGAAAAACAAAAACCAAAGGAATGGCGATATCGCTAACTGATGATATTCTGAGAGGAAAGTCGCAAGACGAATAGTTCGCGACCCCATTGAAAATGATATTATCCGTGACTCATCTTCACCTCATGCAAGTCTCGTCCTACTGGTGAAAAAGAAGAATGGTGAGCCGCGCATGTGCATAGATTATAGAGTCCTAAATCGTAAAACGCTGAAAGATAAATACCCATTGCCAGGGATCGATGACCTCCTGGACTCTCTCAAAGCTCACATCTATTTTACGGTCCTAGACCTAGCATCTGAATACCATCAGATCCCATTGAATGAAGAGTAAACTCCGAAGACTGCGATTGTAACACCAGATGGACACTACGAGTTCCTGCGAATGCCATTTGGACTTATAAATGCTCCTGCGGTTTTTCAGAGAACGATAAACCAAATCTTGGGCTTCTTGCGATTCGAAACAGCTATACAGATACTAAATATCTTTAGAGAAGCCGGTTTTACACTTAGGTTAAATAAGTGCTATTTCTTTCAAGAGAACATAGAATATTTAGGACATGAACACATTGTTTTTTGGTAAACTGTAGTAAAATTCATAAAACACTATTCCAAGCAAATTTAGTTATCGCAGTTGGTAAGCAAAGTTTTCAAATTGAAATACAAAATAGCTATTTATACAATAAGTTACGAAATGAGCGTCTTTTAGGCACGCGACGTGAAAATTGTCCAACGAGGCAAAGCCGAGTTGGACAACACGTCGAGTGACTAAAAGACATCGTTTCGTAACGTATTGTATAAAAGATTTTTTCTACTGGCATTTTATAATAAAAAAAACACAATTTTATTTCATGTGAATAAGTCGATTACGCCCAAAATCTTTGTTACCTGCTTTTACTTCACACCTGACACTTTTCATGCGATTTTTTTTTCAAGATTCGACATCAATAATTAAAATCCTAGAAAGTAGGTAACAACACAAAGTTCTGTTTTGAGTAACCCAAATGTTCAATTCAGTAATTCCATTTTCAATATTCGTAATAAATACAAAACAAAATTCAAATATGTGTTTAGTGTGTTTTTTATTTCTGAATCATGAATGACACTTTTAGGCACTAGTGCTTAAAAATTACTTTTACGCACTCAAAAGTCACTTTTACGCATTCAAAAGTCACTTTTACGCACTGAGTGCTTAAAAGTAACTTCTTAAAAGAATGTCGTTTCAAAACTAAAATGACAATCGAAAAGTTGCTATTATGAAACGTCAGTAGAAAATGTTCATTATGTCTCTGATTTGTCTACAAATTTATTGTCTGTTAAGCGGCGTTTCCACATGCATAGTTTATTGGCGCTAGTCGACTGGCGCAGCTTTTCTGGCGCGTGGAAACTCAGAAAACTAACTTTCGCCAGTTAACTGGTGCCACTTATCTAGTGTTGCAGGTCGCAAGAAATCTTGTCTTGCTCGGCTTGTCTTGCTAAGCAAGACAAGAAATTTACAATTTCTCGTTCTTGCAAATTTCTTGCAAGCCTATTTCTTGTTCTTGCTGCAAGACTCTTGCTATTTCTTGTTCTTGCTTTATAAAAAGTTCCTACATAAATTTAAGATTGGTTATAGTCCCTTTTCAAACAGCAAGTTGAGTTTCAAAATGTAATTAAACTTCTTTGAAAAAACTTGAAAGTTTTTTTATTAAATTCAGGGCCAGTTTCACAAACACTGGTAGCCCAACGGTAACCACAAGACTACAAGACACTGGTAACCTAAAATATATCTGTTTCATAATGTGTGGTTTAGCCAAACCATTGCATTGGTCAAGCTTCAGATTATTCAATGTGGTCAACCCACAACTATGAGTTTGAAAACCAGTGAAGGTGACCACCAATAATTGTGGAACTGGGCCTAAGATTACATCAGATAAGTCGATTAAATTAAATGTTTGATGTTTGCAAGTTTGGTCATTATATTGGAACTTCAAGAAATATTTTTTGAGTGAAAACTTATTTAGTCTCGCTCAGGCAGCATACTTTTTTGTGGGTATGTATCACGCTCGGCTATGTAACGCTCATTCGGGTACATTCGGCTCGAGTAGATTTCAGCCAAGCGAGAGAGAGAAACATCCATCACATTTTATTTCAAGTAATTTTTTACAATAATCTTTTTTTTTTCTTTGATCGTAATTTAATATACAGGGTGGGGCACGAAAAACTTCCCACCCAGGTTTTCTCAGGTGTTGAGTGATTAATTAAAAATCGCTCGAACACGTCAATTTTTGTTTTTTGAGGGACACATTTTATTGGTATTTTCACTCCCTACCTGTCGACCCCTAAGTGGTGACAGGTACCTTCAAAATTTCAAATGAAAGGAGGGGTCGAGTGATACGTCATTTGATAGCTATTTTCATTAAGATTATATCCCCGAATTTTTAAGTTGCTACTATTCACCCTGTCGAAATGGTGGCTTGTCAAAGTGAGGATAAATCAATGGAAAAATGCTGTGTGGTTTTTACCTGTTACCTAGGCATGGGTGTGACAGGTAAAATCTATACAGTTTAGATTATCGAAAAAAAGCCTTTATCTAACACCTGCTAGTTATAAGAGTAATTATTTGTGCCAATTTAGACAGGTAAACTATCAAATAACACTCCAGTGTGATATAAACCATAACCCACTAGTGAGTTATGGTTCATAACTCACTCTCTTATAACGTCAACGCAAAACGTCAGGAAATAAAAATTTATAAATCTTGCTTTAAGGAAGACTCATTGCCAAAAAATACCTGCTATTTTTTTCAGTTCTTGTATGCTGCTCGTGTGTTATGATTCCTCAGTTGAGTTGTTGGATAAAACATTATATGTGTGTGTTATGTTTTCTAAGTCACTCGAGAAATTATACCTCTCGGCCTAACGGCCTCGTGGTATAAATTTTTCTCGCGTGACTTATTCTCAACATAACACACTAGTACCGACCGTAAATAACTATTATCCCAACTTTGACATTCCGACATTTCGACAGGTTAAACACTAGCAACTTAAAGCTTCGGGGATATAATCTTAATGAAAATAGCTA